AGTAGTAGTAGTAGTAGCAGTAGAGTAGCAGCAGCAGTAGCAGTAACAGTCGTCGTCGCCGTAGTGCTAGCAGCAGTAACTGTGGCAGTAGCAGTAGCAGCAGCCGGCGTCGTCGTCGTAGAAGTAGGACCAGCATCTAACACGACTGCTCCACGTCGACATGCCGCGTTTCTCCTGTCTCCACTACTCTGACTCGTACTCCAACTCCTACACGGCTCCTACACGTCTTCCCCCGCTTCCTTTCTTCTGCTACTATCTGCATCTACCACAACCTCTACCAGTACACGTTCAATGCATTTCCATAAAGCATCTTGGTCGGTGTTCTCGGGTGCTTATTGCTGCAGTGGTCCTTGCACACGCTGCACCAGGTCAATGCAATCTTGAGTGTGGGCAAGTCCTGTGCTCTTGAGCATTGCTGAGGGCCAAACATGGGGCAGCAGACGACGGGCACCTCGTCATGCGTTGGAGAGAAGACAGCTCTGCCACTCCGATCTACGCAGCATGCCTTGACCGCCAGGCTTCGGTGCAAGAAACAAAGCACCGGACTTCGCATTCTGCCATGGATGGCAGCTTCACGTGAGATCGTGAGGCTGCTCTTCAGCACATGGCGAAGACGATGGTATCACAGACAACTTGGCCTCTGTAGGCCTTGGACGAAGCTATCCTGGCTAGATGCTGCAGAACGTTAGACGAAGCTGCGTGACGGGTGGAGGCATGCTGACCTCGTGGGAGGTTCGGAGCCAAATTTGGCTGACAATCGGACGCTGCTGGAAACATCTGCAAATTCTGCAAAGCTCAATCAGTCGAACAGTCGATCCATTTTTCTGCCTCTAGCATCCCACGTTTAGCCGCTTCCAGCTCCATGTCGGACAACGTACATCCTTTCGGCAACAGCTCATCCAACAAAACCGGAACCAACTCCTGGGACTCAGAACTGCAAGCCTTCTGGGAGTCTGATTGAGGACGCGAGGTTCAAGCAGGTGTACCTTAGCCAGCAGTTGAACATGCTATGCGGGCAACGGCGTCTTCCCCGGTGTGACTATGCACTGTGACTGTGACACGTGGAGAAGAGCGTGGCTACGGCGCAAGTCTTCCAGGCACGTGCTCGTAAGCGCATGGGGCTATCGGAGCTCGCAGGAAAAGTCGTCTGGAGGAATACCATCCTGCGTTCAAGCTGCAGCTCTTCGTCATCAAGCGACGGCAACAGTTCCTCGGTCAAAAGCCAGTGGCACGAAACCAAACCTCTCTAAATCTCCAAGCCAACGTTTGCAGACGGAGCCATCATGCCCCCAAATGTTCAAGCCGCCCTTTCTCGAGCTACTCCTTGCAAGTATCGATATCAAGGCCCCACTTGAGACTGAGTCATGCTGATAGGGCCGCAGCGCTGAGTCGGTGCAATACCGCGTGCAAGGTTTCCTCCTGGCATCCCCCATCGCACGGGGACTTCTTCATTGAAATTGGGACATATTTGGGGCCTTGTTGAGTCCTTCATTTTCTCACACTCCCACATGCCAATGTATGGCCAGACTCTTCTCTAGATGGAACTGCTCCGCGATGGACTGAGGTCACCGCGCCGATACCCGACGGTGGAGGACCCTGCTGGTCGCTCTCGTCGAAGATGAAGGCCGACGGGACAGGCTGCCCGGCAAATGCACGAACACATGATGCGCAAATTGAAGTGCCAGCTTGGCACTCTGCTTTGGGCAGGAAATGGGACGGCCTTGTCCGATTCGGCCTGCAAAATGGCCGCTGCATCCAGGAACCCAAGAACCTTGGAGCGAGTTTCGGCTAGAGCGACATCGAACGGCCGCAGTAAGCTGATTGATCTTCCAATCAGCAGCTCCATGTCTGACTGGCTCAATTCGATGTAACGCGGTACACCTCAGGCCTTGCCTTGCAACTCCTTTCACAGAGAGTCTCGTGGTCGGATCCCCAACTGAGAGCCTCGAAGGCGCTGAACTGCTCGAGCTTCCCTTTCGCCTCGTGCCGGCAGCAGAGGCGCGACTGGTGAACTTCGTATTGTCTGTGGCTTGAACTACGAGAGTGTGTGCTGCTGCTTCAAGGGCTGTGCCCTATATTTTTAAGGGGTAATCACCTACTATTCGGTGATGTTTGGGGCTGCAGGATGATCCGATCATGCAACTGGGCCGGTTGATTGCAAATTTCTGCTGCCCGGATTACTGGGTTGTCTGTCATGTGTCCACACGTGGCAGTAGACTGACCGATGTGAAGTCCATTCCGCATCTTTCCGTTTCAACTAATTAACCAATTTTGACAACCTCCGCCAGCAGCCACGCAGGCCTCTGCCACGAGCCTGTGGAGCAAGTCGCCGCGCGCGACCTTGCCAAGCTTCGGTCGTCAAAATATTCCCCGTCTTGTGAGTTAGAGACTTGTTGAATTGGCGAGTGCTGAACGTTGTCACGACTACCCCGATCCTCATTTCTACATTCCTGCCCGCACCCAGGCACTGGAAGTGACAGGTCCCAGCTCCTCCCGCTTCAATTTCAGCGCGTGCTCACCAGGGAGGGGAGGAATACAGCTTTCCCGAGTAACGCGCAGGCGGCCAGCGTGGTGCAGGTACTGAGAATTAGGACTAGGATCCCAGCAAATCTATTGGGTGCAGCCAGAGTGGGGCAGGGGGTGCGCAATGTCTTCTGCATTAAAGGCATGATTGAAAGGAGGTGACAATTTGTCGAATCCTGCTGTTGTTTCTCTGCACCATGCATGTACAGAGATACTGGCAGTATGCGGGAATACACCTGGTACCTCGAGCACGAACTATGGACGTTTGCAGCCACGATATGTCATGGCTGCCCTGCAAACCCGACTCAACTCAATGTCACGGGAGCCGCCTTTAGGAGTGAGAAGGAGTGCAGCAGGTGGATGGCCGTTACATTGCGACGCATCTCCTTGCAAGACTCTTGCAAGACAGCTGATTTTTGCAATCTCCAGGCAGCGCCGCCAGATCACGTCTGGGGCTGTCAGCACACGTCATCGCGAATGCTTGAGGAGCCTTCAGATCCGCCGCGTTGTCGTGGAGAACCCATCGCTTGCCTGACTATGGCCCGCTGCATCCACGAGTAGTAGAAGCTCCACTGACGCTCAAAGCAAGCTTCATGGTAGGCCCTCTTCCCGTCCCCCATCCACCGACCCATAAGCTTCCATGTCTGAAACGAAGAGCATTGTAGACTCCGCTGAGGCTATCAAGGCTCAACTGCAGGATCAGATTCGACTAGTCGAACCCCAGCGAACGAGACCTTGATCGGAACATATCGGAACCCACCCAGCTGGACATGACTAAAAGAACTGCATTTCTGTCGTGAACTATAGCAGCTATCCTGAACTTCGTTCATCGACTCTTGCACGAAATGCTCTTCTATACTGTACTCCGACGCCCTCTCGACTCGGGTAGCTGCTGGTCTCCAAGAAGCTGTCGTCCGTGTAGCGCGCTGCAGCACAGACGTACAGGACCTGCAAAGGGGCTGTTGGGTACGAACTGCGACCCCGGAGGCTACTGCTTCGGTCGCACAGACCTGCCTCACCAAGCGCATCAATATCGAAGTCCTCGAGTCGCTCGCGCTGGGTGGCGTTTGCATCCAACAGCTCACCTAGCACCACACGCAGTGACAGGCAGCAGCTTCGGACAGAATCCCAGTGCTGCTAGCATGATCGGGCGCTGCGAAAGGCTCGGCTGCCGGTTTCCGGTTCGGTTCGGCTCTGCTGGGACACGCTGCGCCTAGTCTGTAGCCCAGTCGGCCGGTGCAGCGCCGCAGCAAAGGAAGGAAGTCTGCCTCCTGGGACTCTGCTGGCCTCGGCGGAAAATTGGGGAAAGCAGCCTTCCGTCAAGGAGAGCCACTACACACAAAGAGCATCAAAGAGCTGAACCTGGGCTTCGCTGGGCACCTGGCACCAGCTGCAACAAGGCCTGCCATGGCTTCACCGCGTTCTGCTGGGGGCGGTTTTGCAGTTTTGCGGGGAATCCGGGAATCGGAAAGCACAGCCAGAGAGGCCGCCAGTGCTCGAGGAATGGTTCGCAATGGCAACTCGCGACTGCGCCGATACCTTGGGAGCTTCTTCGAGGGAGACTTGCATTGTTAAAGGACAACATTCACTGCTTGCCACGCTCCACCTCTACATTCTGAGTGATGTCGCACTCGATCCCAGCAGGGAACCAAGCTACACCAAGCTGCCCATTCCAGAGCCAAGCTTAAGCCGGGTTGCAGCTCTGCTCCCAAGCTTCCGATCTGGCGCCGCAGTGGCTTCTTCATCTGAAAGAGCGTGGGAGATTCGAACTCACAAGCCTGTCGCCCTAGTTAGCCTAGCTCAGTGCAGATGCTGCCGTGGGCCTGGTCATCGTCGTCACTATCCTCCTCATGCATACCTTCAGTTTCCCGTGCAAGTCTACTCGGACCACTTGGCCGCCCATCGGCAGGCAATTGGCGCCTGAAGCTTGCCATAGTGCTGATAGCTCCGTCAAGGCAACCAGCTGACCTGCTCCGAGTTGTGCTTTCGACAGCCGGAACGCGCTTTGGTGGTTCAGGCATGCTTTTATTCTTACGACTTAAGCAATGGGCGTCCGGCGACGCCACACTGTAAGCTTATCAAGATGTTTTTCTTCAAAGCACAGGTTAAAAACCAAAAAAAAATAGTGTTACAGGCCCGCTTCTGAGCTCCAGAGACATGGGGCCACCGGATACCCTTGCAGGATCTCCAATTCGCGTTTTCCCTGAACAGACAGCACTCTAACAACGTGTGTTTCAGACAGACTGCATAGAAACTGGGCGCTGCGTGGTGCACTGATGTAATAGGCAGGGGGTGCAACGGGAGGACCTCACGTCAAAGTGTGGGCAGCTTCTGCACTGAAAAGAAGGACCCTCAACTCTGAACATTCTCTGAACCCTTACCGGCAGCTTTCGTTCGGGACTGCATCATCCTAGTCGGATGCCTGCACGAAGGGTCGCCGCCTTCTCCACAAGATGCTTGAAGATCTTCTTCGCAGACCGCCTTTTCGACTCCGACGGATCACCACATCTTCCCGAGCTCTACTTGACTAAGGTGCCCTTCTTCTTGGGGCGTGCAACCTTGGGAATCTACTAACATGTCGCAAGATACTTGGCGTTTGAGGCGGGTCTTCTGGTCGACACTACACTGTGTCGTCACCACATTGAGGACAGCTCTCTCAGCATTTGGGAAACTTCCTCACGGCCCATGCTCGGTTGATTCTCGACCTGGGAAAGCCTTTAAAAGGGCAAAGAACCTGCCGGGGCAGAAGGCTCGAGATGGCTGCACTTTGCGAGTCGATCCGTGCCAAAGAGACTTCGTCAGATCCTCTGTTGCCAGCGGGAACACAGACCGCCTGGCCTTCCATTTGACTGATTGGCGAATGGTAGTGCTGACCCCAGGCATTCCAGCAGCACGGAAGGCTGCATCCCTGCAGTCAGAACTATGACGGACACAGAAGACCACAGGCATGCAGTCGAAAGATGTCAAAGCAGCCTGCATGCAACCGTTCAGCGGATGGCAACTTCCTGCAGCAAGACACTGGTCTGAAGTGCCTGGTTTAGGACTAGGAAACTTCTGCACAGCATCCTGCAAGATCCGAGGAGTTGCAAATCACAGCCTAGTCTTCATGGCAGCCTCTTGATAGTTGATTGCCTTCCTGCTCTCTTTGCTCCAGCTCCAGACTCTAGCCACAGCAACACCGAAGAACAGCACTCCCCATGTCGCCGATGCAACACTGGCACAGCTGCGTGCCTTTCAAGCGCTTCAAGGAAGCGAGGAGCGGTTTCTGCCAGCGGCACACAGGAGTGACCTGAGGCTGCCCACTCTCAGGGAGGAACCCGAAGGTCTAAGCCTCTAAGCGGCTGGCCCCAGCGGCCCAGTGCCTGCGCTGCCGTGCAGAGGCCTTGCAGCAAATCGCACTCTGCCAGGCACGGCTGGCCACAGCCTTCGAAGTCCCATCCCACTTCCAAAATGGACATGGCCGGTCATGTGCGACTACCTCTTACGGGCACCTGCACGTCCAAGTCTCCAAGGTTCTGCCGGTGCGAGTCCTTGAAGACCGCAGTCAGCTGCTTGCGGTGTAACACACTCGACCGATCACTCGCAGAGACAAGAGGCGTTGCTGTGATGATGCTTGTGATGATGATGATGATGATGATGATTACGATGATAGTCATGATAATGATAATGATGATGATGACGACGACGATGATGACACTGATGGTAATGGTGGCGACGACGATGATCGTGAGTATGACGCTCAGGGCTGACGGTGATGCCAGGTGCACTGGTGGTAGTGTTGGTGCCAATGAGTCAAGGGTGAGGATGCTACAAAGACCACTGCTTTTTTGTGTGGTCGATGATGACTTGTAGTGGGGTTGGAGGAGGTTCAGGTAGCGCGGCAGTCGTTCTTGCTGTTCATTTCGTGTTTATGTTTTTGACTGCATTTCTTGTGGCGGCGGCGGGGCATGGAAGACACCTCACAAGCCCTTGGTATACAGCTGCACACCGAAAACCTACAGAAAACGCGAAACCACTCAGCCTTGCAAGCGTTCAGCAACAGACTGCAGCAACGTGGATGGCCGGTCCTGTCTGTGGTGCAAGAAAACTGGGCTGAGTCGGCTAAACCCGTCGGCTGTATGTGGCTATCGTCTTTCCGTGCTCGACCTCACATCCCAGAGTCCTAAGGTTGAAACCATGCAGCTGTCGGTGTGGCCTGTGCGTCCGCCCACTTCACTTCTGCCTGAAGGATCGCCAAGCAACTCCGCTGCAAGGCCTCGACAAGAGCTAGGACCGAAGAGGGCAACGACATGTTGGCCTGTTGCCTCAGCTCCTCGACTCTCATGCGACACTCGGTCGTGCGCATCACATGTTCACGGACCATTCCTCGGCATCCCCCGCAGACGGCCTGCGGGCGCAACCCGACGTCGATGAGGTGCCTTGCAGGATCAACCACAAAGGTTTCTGCGAAACTCAGAAGGCATCATTTCCCTCTGGCGCGCAAAATTCTGGATCTGCCAGGGCCCACGCGAGCCCTGCAGCAGCTCAAGGAGGATCTCTTCGAGTGCCTGCACTGGCGACGAGCCCGTGCTTGCAGCCGTTGACTGCCTTGCTGGTCGTGTGCCTCCGGGCGTCTTTGCGGCCGAAGCGTGGCCATGGCCTGACGCAACTCGTGCACCCTTTTTCAACATGGACCAACAGTAACACACAAACAAGGACAAAAAAACGCACAAACACAGAGATATACATATATATATATATATACCATGTCGTGTATATATACACACACACACACGAGTGCACTGCAGCAAAGAGACGGAGATGCACACACAGAGAAAGGAACACACACACACACAAAAGAAAAAAGCCTGTTAGCTGCTGCTGCCACCGCCGCTCAAGCTGCATGGGCCGTTTTCATGAGAATGGCTACAAGTCACTGGGCTCCCTGCGTGCAGCACCATAGCGCACTGGATCAAGGCTTTCGGATCCTGACCGGATGTTCTGATGATCCTTGCGTTCCGATGATCCTTGCGAAGATACCCACCCGTGCTGCTTCCAGGTGGCCACATCGGAGACCCACGTCGGCAAATCTGTCTGTCCTTTGTGGAAGCGGCGCAAACAGCTCGTTCGGCACCTTTTGGTGGAATTTTCACAGGCGGGGTGCAGGGAGCCCTTCACACTTCGTGAGGCTTCTGCTTGCAGACACACTGCAGCACAAGAACCTATCTCCCCGGCCTGTGAGCAAAACGTCGTCTGCTTGCCTGGTGCACAAATTCTGCAATTTACTGCACTGCTCTCTCCAAGGATCACCTATCGGATGCGCACGCTGTGAAGATGCAGGTGTTCTCAGAACCTACTATATAATATAATAGTGTATATTGTTATATACAACAAGATAATATAATATACAATGCCCTTTTTCCTCCCTCTCCGAATGCACGGCCAGGCAAGGCCTTAGTCGAGCCAGGCAGGATGCCACGAGGGCAGCCTGGCAAAACTTCCCGAAGCTAAAGACAAAGCGCCACCTCTCCAAAGCGCTGACCGAAGGCAGACCCCTTACTTCCGACTAGTCTTTTTAGGCGATGACCAAAGGCCCACCACTAGCTCCAGCAGAAGCCACCAACTCTGCAGCCTTCTGACTCACACAAGCCCCTCCCCACTCCACGGCCCATTTTTGCATCGCGCGAATGTCGCCAGCTTCTTTGGCCAATGGTTCCGCGCGGCCCTGAGCATTTGCAAGCAAAGGTCGGGTGTAGCATCGTGTGGCTCTGTGGCATGTCCAGAGGCTCCGCGGTCTTTGTGCTTCGGGGTTGAGGCTTGCGAGTCTAGCGTCATCAAGCCAAGCTCCTACGACAACGACTGTGAAGCTCTAACCTCCTATAGTCTAACCCGGAAAAACCCAGAAAATTGGAACATTATCCTCACACCCTGAGGTAAAGGATAGGGACTCCTAGCACTATAATCATCCTAAATCGATGTTCCGACTTTCTGGGCTTCACGTGAACCGCCAGAGCTACTGTACCAAATCCCTAAACCCTAAACCCCAAAGTTCCAGCACGGAGTTTCTGCGAGGTGCTGGCTCCTGGGCCACCGCAGAGTCGCCAATGCGCAAGGTAGCGTGGCACCTCGATGGAGGCATCACTACTAAATTATTATCCAGTAGGTTTATATAACACATATTACATATTCAATATTGTTATATGTTATATTTCAACTATTACAATATATATATATATATATATGTCTATGATGTATATATATATATATATATATATAATATGATATAATATAATATAATATCTTATAATATAACATTATATTCTATTATTTAGTAGGTGCTACATACTTTATATTGGACAAAGTTCGATGTCAAATGTTGAGCTGCCGGTATGCTTGCAGCACGTGGCATGGTATGTCATGAGCATCCGCATGTTTCTTCGGATTTTTCTTGACAAAAACTTAACACAATGGATAAGGCGACTGGGAACTTGGGTGTAAGACCGTCAAGGGTATTGCTCGAGCAAACCTCAAGTAGTTTGGCACAATGTATCAACATCTTTCAGCCAAAAGTGCTGCACCCAAGGTACAGCCAGTAGAGTGGCATTTTGATGACAATGTAGCCAGTGTGGTGCCAGATGAACCAAGTGTCTGCACTTGCATGCAGGAACCACCACCAAATCCAGATCATCCTTAGCATGTAACATGCTCGGCAGCTGCCATGGCGATACTACGCCTTGTGATTTGTTGTTATCCTTCTAAAGCTCGCGGCACGCTGGGCTTTACCCAGAAACTACGAGTAAATTGTACTAACATGCCCAATATTGCCGAACTATGTCTCCGGAGCCACGTGAGAACTCTTGCCACCTCGCTGCACATGAGCACAAATCGCGGTGCCCCAGCTGCAGGCAGTGTGCTCTTGGTCGAACTCTTGCGACGGTGCAAAGCCTAGCGTCTGCGGCTGGTTCAGTTCCTCCGACAATCCGATAATCCATTGCTGCGGCTAACAGCTACTACTGCAGCAGAAGTGCCGTTGGCCCGCAGCTGCTGTTCGATGTACCGCCTGGTTGCAAGTCATCTACAACGTGGTTGTCTTAGTGGCTAACTTGGCTCCAATCGTGCCGGAGACACCCTAAACCCTAGACCCTAAACCCAATCGTGCCGGAGACACATGTGGGCCAAACCCCAGGGCACTGCATACCTTCCCGGTGCAGCTTCCATCAGCGCGGCGACCTCAGCTCAGCGGGGTAAAAACAGATGCCCGAAGTTAATGTATAATATGAATAAAACGTACCTAATATTATATAATATAATATAATA